TGTATTTCATCTATTTTAAACAAAACTTCATTTACAACAATTGAAAAATAATAATTTTGAATCTTACATTTTTTAGTCATATATAGTTAGAATTTTAAAAATATTACAATATATAAAAGTGAATATTGTGAATAAAATTTTTTTCATACATACAAAAAATTAAGATTTTTTTATTTTATTTGATAAATTTATTTAAAATATGCTATTTTAATGGCATAAAAATTAGATTTTGAAAAAAATTTTAATTTATTGGAAAACAAAACTTCATATTTTGAAGGTTTTACTTTTGAATGTGATTTTTTGTTTATTTTAAAATTTTTTTTTATCAATCACTTCATTTATATAAAAATATTTGTTCACATTGTTATACAATTACTTTAAAGAAATTATTTATTATCTCAAATTGATAATATTTTTGTACGTTAGAATATAATTTTAGAACAAAATTTAAACAAAATATATTGAAAATATTCAAAGTTGTTAGAAATTTCTCATTTCAAATATTATGAAATTGATTTCTTTTGAATGATAAGACTATACATATGAATCTCAACCAAATTGATCTACATTTTTCATCTCTATGATTTTATTAATATGTTATATAAATACAAATAAATGTAAATAATATACAATCATTTATCTATATTTAATTTTTATTACTATATTTCATTTCATAATGCATGCAATAAAATTACCAAAATTTTAAATCTCACTAAATATATAAAAAAAGTTTTGAAGTGTTTGTTTAAATATTTTTATTTATAAATTAAAAACTAATAAATACAAGCACTCTTCAATATGATTCCAACAACGAAATTTATAATCACCAAAAAACTTAATTTTTGATATAAAATTTGTCAAGAAATTTTATTTAATTAAAAAAAAATTTCAATTAAAAAATGTTATGATCTAAAATTAATTATAATGTGAAGAATTATATTGAATAGATATTATCTCAAATTTTGAACATTTTTTTATATAAATTAAATTTCAAAATTTTTAAATTTTCAAAATCACATATACATATTTTTTTGCAATATTTAAATTGATCAAAAATATTTTTCATCTGTAATCAAGCCTCTAATTTATATTCAAAAAATTTTGAATGCAAATTTTTTTAAAAAAATTTACAGTGTGAAATTTGTAATATTTTATTAATTACAGTTGATCAGTTTGTTACATGATTTTATGTTAAAATGGACATCGGTTGATGATCACATTTTATTTTGAGCAAATATCTTGACGAAAAAAATCACATCAATTTTTGCTTTTATTTATAAAACATGATCAATATAATATAAAATTTTTGTAAATATTATAAAATATATTCACATTTATTAGAATTTATGATTAAAATATTACTATTAAAATTTTAAAATGCTTAAAATTCAAGTAATGATTACAATGGATAATATTTCAAGTGAAATTTGAAAAAATTAAATATCCTTGTTATATGTTAAAATAGTTATGGGTCAATTTCATTAAACTGAGAAAGAATAGTTCAAAGATAAAAAAGATTTGAGATTAACTAAATCTACATTTAAAAAAATCGAAATAACACTTAGTCATTTTCAAATAAATTAAATGCAAACGTGTCATTATATTGTGGATTGGTCGCGTATTCAGAGGATAAGCTCAGATAAGGAAAAATAAATAAATACTTTAAAAGTTATGCAATACATAAATTTTTATTAAAAAAATAAAGTATTTAAAAAATTTAATTTCTTTATTACTTCACAAAACCAGAAAAGATCATGAATTATAAAAAATAATAATTATCATAAATTAAAGTTGAACGGTTTGTTACTATAGATTGAAGGTCAAATCAACTTGACTTGAGATAAAATCGGCGATTCAACAACTTCGATACGTGTATGGAAGAAGACTTAGAACCTGAAGCACATAAACTTACTCATGTACTGATTTAGCAGGAAATTGTAGTCGGATAGATCGTTTATCACCACATGATTGAATTAGGGGCGAAAATGAATTGATGATAAGTTTGTTGGCCTTGTCAGAATAAGTTCTACTTAGAAATCTAACCAAAGCTCTCAATCACGATTTTGTCGTTTTCTATCCGAAGTCGTTTATCCATGTCAGCTTGAAAGAGATAATACATAAAGATATTTTCCATATGAAATCACAAGCGTTGTTGGGATTCTCTTGCAAAGGGTAATGAACTTCTGTCGAGTAAACGGTACGACAGACTTGAACTTCGCACAGATCGTTAATAGAAACGAGAAACAGTAAAGGGCATACGGCAGAAAGTGACATGATGAATATGGAAAGTTCCACTCTTCAGGGTCAAAGAGACGTAAATAGAAGGTGAACTGAGCAGAAAGTGCCAAGATCCGCCGGACTTCACTGCATCTGCGCGGGTCGAAGAAGAAAAGCACAAAGCGGAAGAGTTACCGCTGGGAAATGACGCGAATACGGACGATCGGAAAACGAACGGCGAAGAAAAATAAATAATATATACAATTTCAAATTAGAACAAACTCATCCGCAACAGCTAACACTGTCGGAGGTTATGGAGAAGGATGACAACGTGCACTGGCCTAGCCGTGCTGGGAACCGCCGCTAAAGAGCCCGAGCTTCTCCGCAGGGAATTGGGGTGCTCAGCTAAAGTTGGAGGCGCAGTCCGGTGCGTGGGATTTGAGAGCGCGCAGTACGTTGGGCCGGTCCGCGTTTAATGTCCCGGGGTGTGCCGCACAGTTTGAATCGCGGTTCCGAGCGTGCTTCCGTGGAGGGTCATTGCGGGATTATTAATGACGTATCGGAGGTTAGAAGTTAGAGTCCGCGACGCCGCCCCTTCGTCTCTTAACAGGGCGGGAAAATTCGTCGAAAATTATAAGGACCTAATTACCACATGCCCCGGGTTTTCAGGCCTTCTTACCTACTAAGCTCCCGCCGCCGGCTCGGTGAACCACCGGTTTTCTCCGCCCGGGAACTTCATGCCGGTCAAAGTGGTAGGTTACCTGGTATTGCCGGTGAGGTAGTCGGCACCCTGACCGGCGACCGGTGCGGGCGGCAGTCTCGTCGGCCGTTTCCACATTCCGGATTTGCAGTAGTGCGCAAGTATTTCCCTCGAGTGAAAGAACATCGTTTTCTACTTGTTTCATCCAATACCTCCAGATATTTTGGATCACCAGCGATGGCGCACATTGATTACGGTTGATTCCGGTTTTCATTACCGAGGAAAAAATTAAATTACGTATTCTTTCACATAGGCATTTTATGGTGACGAAAATATTTCTCTACTTTTATCTCTATCTGTGAGGGATCGAAATTCTGACCTTAAATATTCGAACTGAATACTTGGACTACAACCAGAATTTTACAATGATGTAGACTACGGTGTCGAAAATCGCGGGCCTCCACAAATCACACAGTCGGACTCGAACTCCGATGGACTGATTTTTGGTTCCCTAAACTCAATCCAACTTCATTAGTTTGTATCGATTCCAAGGACCAGGAGCTAACACGCTTGGAATAAACTGTTCCCCCTTTCCTCCCCAAGGAAGAAAGTCTCTGAGAAAGTCTTTTTCAGTTTAGGTTAGCTTCTGAAATCCCGTTAATATTTTCTGTTCCGAAGGACTTACCGACTCTGTACGAGCACATTGTTGATGCGACATCATGGGGGGACTCACGGCAATCGAAAGGCTGTCAGAACCCCGGAAATAGTGTGGTCCAAGCCGGATTTAGTCAAATGTCATGTCTTCCGCTCTAATAAGATTTACGCCCACCGTGGCTTCAGAAATGTCGTCCACATATTAACTGCCTTTGACTTCTTGTGTGTGTCAAGTACTACAGTTGGGTGGAAATGGGAGCTCTCAAGCAGGCCAAGTGCATGCTTCTTCGAATCGATGGTGATATTTTAGAGGATTTTAGAAAGCTGTCGTGCAAGGAGTAATCTCCAGTGGGAGAGATCAAATTAGGCAAATATCGTATCCAAATTCGGCCGCTCGCCAGCAGCTACTCATTTTGTTGGGACTCGATATACTTCAGCGAGGGGCCAGGATTTTCCGATGACCCTACCCTTCATCTGTTCTTCCAGTAGTTTAATCTTTCGTGGAAAGGGTGGTTGTAAAGTCTGAGGGGAAAATCTCCATTTCAACCGCTGGAGATTCGACGATATTCTAATATTACCCGTCTGAAGTATGCGTCAGAAGAAGAAATGGTTGCTGATATTTAATGCGAGGGGGGGAGTTCACGGCGGCAGGAGGGGTTACGGATCCGCCAAGGGGCCGGTGAACCCCGGTTGACCGCCCGAGGCGCGCACGGGCGTTGCGGTTCTTGACGGGAGCCGAGACATTCGGGAGACGGAAGAGCACGAAGGCGGGCGGATAAGATGGCGGAGAAATTAGCCGCGGTCTTAGCTGGGCTTCCGGTTGCGGGCAGGTGAGGCAGGGGTGGGCCGACCGATGGTGACGCGTGAGGAGCAGCAGCAGGGCGGGAGTCGCACGTAACACCAGCAGCATCCGCCAACCGGCTCGGAAAGCGACCGGCGCGCGGAGGCGGAAGGCGGACGAGCCCCGTCTCTGTCCGGCCGACCGACGACCGACGGCGAGGCACCGGCTGGAGCGGGCCACCGCACCGCAGCCCCGCGCCAGCGGCTCCGTCCGACGGTGACGACCGGCGCGCTCAGCGCCAAAGAGGCGTGGGGCGAACGGGAACGACCGGTGCGCGAGCCGAGCCGAGCCGGTCCGCGCCGGGCTGTGGCTGGCTGGCTGGCACAGTCTGGGGCGACTGGAGCCAGCCAGCTCTAGAGAGTTTGAGGCGCAGGAAGTGGAGGGGAAGGTGAGAGAGTGCTCGCGGGCGACGGAGGCAGGCAGGCGGGCGGGCGGGCAGGCCAGCCACCGGGGCTCAGCTTCGTTTCCGCTCGCGGGCGCAGAGCTGCCTGCTTCGTTGAGGCGAGGAGGGAGGGAGGAGGAGGAGGAGCGATAGAGAGGAGGAGGAGAAGAAGAAGGTCGCGAAGAGAGAGTGAGGGAGGGGAGAGCGCGCGAGAAGAGAGGAGGAGGAGGAGGAGGGGGGGAGGCGGAGGTGGGCGACGGGTGGGAGGAGGACGGGGTGAGGGTAATGGTGGTTGTGTTGTTGCGCTGCTGAAGCTGCTGCTGCTGCCGAGAGGGAGAGGGAGAGAGAGAGAGAGGAGAGGCGAGGAGAGGCAGGGGGGAGGTGGTGAGGTGCACTGCAATCTGAGGCATCTTATACGTGCGTGCTGGCCATGGCCGATGCACGTCCCTTGAAGCCGAGAGTGTTAGGGTGAGGGTGGGCGAGGGCCAGAGGGCGAGTGAGGGCGCGAGCGGAGCGAGCGAGACGAGGAGGTGGGTGAGGGAGGACTGGGCGAGCGAGGCGAGCGAGAGCGAGAGGAGGGAGGAAAGGCAGGAATGAGCGACGAGAGGCGAGAGGTGAACGACGACGAGGAGGAGGCCTGGTAGCGAGAGAGTCGAGCGACTAGTCGATTTTTCGTTCGTTGCGCGTTTGGGATGTGCGTGCTTGGTTCTGCATTCGTTGGGAGTTGTTGTGTGTTTTGTTACATCCGGTGAGTGGTGGTAGGACGGAGGCCGGGCGCGAGAGCCTCGAGCGAGAGTGTGCGACGGGGAACCGACCACAAGGCCGACGCGACGGCCCAGGCGTGACCAGCGACAGTTCGCGAGGCAAGATCTCCTCGTGCCTGGAAACGAAGCGGACCGGTGGTCGAGAACCCTAAGGCGGTGACGGTCAGATCTGTCTGGCATTGGAACGACCGCAAGGGTGCAGCCTTCGCGAGTGTCAAGGGTGGAGTGCCGAGAAGGTTTGGGCGAAAGATATGAGTGAGGCTGTAGAGAAGAAGAGGAAGAGTACTCTTTGTGCAGTACGGCTGGACGAGTGTATGGGTGAAGGATGCCAGAGCTGCGTAGTGGAGCGCGCCAACCCCGCTCCCCTCTCACCCCAGGCAATCTCCCGTCACCTGCCGTCGATCATCCGCCTCCAGTAGCTCCTGTCGAAGCATTCGTAGATTTGGTTCCCAACACGCGAAGAGCACCACCGAGGAGGCGTGGAGCCGCTGCCGGTGTTGGAGTTGCCGCAGGAAGGGAAGAACTTCCTCCGACTAGAACCAGGGTAAGAACCCGAGCGACAGTAGCCAAAGAGGCTGCTGTTGGCGCGACAAGGGTTGCCAGTAAAGGAAAAGTGACAGGTCGGGTCGTTAAGCAGACCCGTGCCGCCAAACCTCCTCTTCAGCCCAGAGCTCCTGTGGCCAGGCAGCGAGCAGGTTTAGGTCGACCGAAGCAGACTCTCTCACCGTCTCCTTCTCCCGAGAGGCAATCCTCTCAAGATCCATTCAATCCCGAGGAGGTTGAAGACGTCCAAGAAGAAACACCGTTGGTAGACCAGGACTCTCGAGACTTGGCAGAAGCAGAAACAGCTGATAAGAAAGAAGAAATGGAAGAGGAGAGTGCTGGACGAAGCGCGGATAAGATTCCCGGAGCGGAAGAGGAAGGCAGTACTGCACCTCTTCCTGAGAGGGTAATTTCTAACGATTACTCAATCCTGTTGCACAAGTAGACAACGAGCGTGTTTTGATGGCCAGTGCCAGTTTTAGTCTCATCTTAGACCGCCTGTTCCTCGTACAGTCACACCGGCCAGGAATCGAGCGTCGGCCGCTACGATTCAGCTTCGACCTAGTTCGGTCTGTGGACAGGTCTGGGACCTGCATGTATCTCGATTGGGTAGAACTGACCCACGCTAGCATTTGGCTGCACTGTGACCGGTCTGAGTGGATTTGCGCTGGCAGCTCAGATGCGTGGTTTGAAACACCATCTTTCGTCAAGGTCACGAGCGACAAGTTTCTGAATCCCTTGTTCGATTTGGATTGTGGCGCTCTGTGGTTTGACTTAGGTGCAAGTGGGAGGATCCCCAATCTACAAGATCGAGAGGAAGCTCGGGAAAGGAGGTTTTGGCCAAGTCTATGTTGGCAGACGGCTGAGTGGTGGTTCCGAGCGTACTGGCCCTCAAGCCAGTGAGGTAAGCTCACTGGATACGTTGATCGCTCGCAACCGCCCTTTTAAGCTCACGGTTCTGCATTGTTCTACTCTTGCAATGTCATGCTGCCACAATAACTCAGCATACTGTGTGAGAAAGTATATGTCACCCCGAAGCATTCAGGGACTTCATGTTCGAGTTGGACGTCTCTGCAGGTCGCTTTGAAGTTTGAGCATCGTAGCAGTAAGGGCTGCAACTATGGTCCTCCTTACGAGTGGCAGGTTTACAAGTGAGGGACCCTCCGCCGATCAAACGATTGTCGTTTCTTCTTCATGCTTGGTCTGATATGCACTATTGTAGATCGTTCGTTCTCTCTTCCACTTGACACACTAGGGAGCTCAGATTTTGTTTTAAGGTTTTGTTGACCGTCATTTTGCAGTACCTTGGGTGGCAGCCATGGAGTCCCTCGTGTACATTATAAAGGTCGACAAGGCGATTATTACGTCATGGTACGATGTCTCTTGGATTTTTTCTGCTGGAAGTATCTATTTCAGTATTGCAGGCGTTGGATCTTTGTATCAGGGTGTTACATTGTCACCAATCAATTTTGACCGGAGTTTGTGGCCGATTGAATGATTGAACAGGTCATGGACATGCTCGGACCCAGTCTTTGGGATGTGTGGAACTCCTCAGGTCAAGCGTAAGTTTCTTGGCACTCCAGCCAGGGTTGCCGATTCGTACATCTGATATTGAGGTTTTTCTTCTTCTACAACTAATGTCCTAACGTCTTCACTACAAATCGCGCGTGTCTCCGACTAAATTGTCCGGCTGTATCTGTGTTTACAGGATGTCCACCGAAATGGTCGCTTGCATCGCCGTAGAAGCTCTTTCGATTCTTGAGAAGATGCACTCAAGGGGGTACGTGTGTATTCATGTTTTCTCCGATGTTTGTGCCTGTGGTGCGAATGACTTTAAACCTTTGTTAGGTGAATTTTGTGGAGAGTATTAACAGTTTGTTTTCCGCAGATATGTCCATGGAGACGTCAAGCCGGAAAACTTTCTACTCGGTCAATCTGGGACTGTGGATGAGAAAAAGCTCTTCCTTGTAGATCTCGGGTTAGGTCAGTATCCCAGCAATTTGATCTCGCCTGAACTCTGTACAGACATGCTTTCTGGAATGTCTATTGTTTTTTGTCGCTTTTGAAGTAGAGATATTACCTCCGTCATTTAAGGAATCAATGATAGAGGAAAGGGGATGTCTATCATAATGTTCATGAATTATCGACTTCTGATAGCATCGGTTTATTGAACAGCAACGAGGTGGAGGGATGGAACCACAGGTCAGCATGTAGATTATGACCAAAGGCCAGACGTATTCAGGTGTGGTCTCACCTTCTGGAGCTACTGGGACCTAGAATCTCTTTTTATGTTCGCAGTTGTGATTTTCTACCTCCTACAAAGCGTTGAAACTTGGTTCTATTCGTATCAAATACTTTTCCTTTATGTAATTTTGTTAACGCTACTTTGTGATTCACCAGAGGGACTGTGCGTTACGCGAGTGTTCACGCACATTTAGGTCGAACGGGTAGCAGGAGAGATGACTTAGAATCTCTTGCTTACACTCTAGTCTTCCTCCTACGAGGGCGTCTCCCATGGCAAGGATACCAGGTAAGTGATCTCCTACCAGGTGTTTTTTTGCCTCAACCTGAAGCGAGCATTTCCTGGTTTACAAGACTTTTTTTACCTGCTGTCCCCGAGATATTCCTGCGTGCTCTTTGCATTGGTCATGAGAACTGTTTTCAAAAGTCCTTGATTGCAGTTCCTTCACTTCCTGTTGCCTTCAAAATCATCACGAGGTCCCTGTTTGCTGAGTTCGGTTTGACATTTCTTTTGCAGGGTGACAACAAAGGCTTCTTGGTCTGCAAGAAGAAAATGGCTACTTCTCCAGAAATGCTCTGTTGCTTCTGCCCCTTACCGTTCAAACAGTTTTTGGAGATTGTTGTGAACATGAAGTTCGATGAGGAGCCAAATTATGCTAAGTTGATATTATTGTTTGAAGGAATACTTGGTCCCAATCCAGCTGTCAGACCCATCAACACGGATGGTGCCCAAAAGGTTTGCTGCCTTGTTCCACTTCATATGCGAACTATTGATAGTTGTCTGTAGAATCAGGAGTTTTTCTCCTAGGTGTTCTCATGCGCGGTACTGTGTCAAGGCACTGTTCTAACTAAGAGTTGCGCTGTACAGTCTTGCTCTGCACAGGTCGGTCAAAAGCGGGGTAGATTGACGGTAGAAGAGGAGGAGGATGACCAACCGAAGAAGAAGATACGCTTGGGCATGCCTGCAACTCAATGGATAACCGTTTATAATGCTCGGCGGCCGATGAAGCAAAGGTAATAACGAGATTTTGTCTGCTTGTTCTCTTCTTGATGTAGAGAACGGTAAAGAGTCGTTAGCCGCTGTCCGTCCTTGTAAGTGGTACTAGTTCGCGCCAGATCCTTCCTGTCGAACCATCTACTAAATGCCAAAATGCCGCCTTGATGGAAGTTTACCGAGGAGTTTCACATATTCTGGCGAGTGTTGTGTCGTCAGTTTGGGTTCTTTCACATTGCTCACTTAGTTTTCCTGTTTTATCGACTTTATTTACAGTTCGTCTGATTATTTCCCTTCTGCAATTTACCCTTTTTTCCCTTTCAGTCTGTAAGTTCGCAAGCATTTGTTTGTATTTAGTCCATCGTAGCTCGATAAATATGCTAATTCTTGCTAGTTAGGTGTCCGTCTTCATGCTTCTTTCTTTTCTCTCTCACAACGAACCTTGAGACCTATAACCAGGGGTTGAGATGCGTAGCAATTTCAGACTGACTACTGGTCCTGCCTTTGCTCACATGTTCTTCGTGGTTGATCACGTACTGTGTTTCTTATTAATGAGTTAGTCTTTTAGATATGTTGTACACCTTTTTTCTTGTCCTACTCATATTTTTTCCGTGCGGATTGATTATGATCTTGCTTCATGTTTCCTGATTCAACCATCCTCTTCAAGGATTGTTGATTTAAGTGGTGAGGTTATTCCCACTACTTTCTTTCCCTGAAAGGTATACAGTGAGGGGGCATACGAGACAAATAGTCGGTGGCAGCATCCATATCTCCTTGGCAGTATCTTAATATGACGATGGTCATTGCAGCCCTTTCTTGCTCCGGACTGTGATTTCATTTTGCTTTCATAACTCACGGAAAGAACATTTCCACAGTGGTCCTTCTTTAACTCGCTATCTCATTACACCGTCCTTCGTTGCCATCCTGCTTCGATCCATCGCCATTGTTTTACTTGGCTTTGAGTCCTTGTCTCCATTCTTCTCTCTCCTGTATGTACTACCTAGGCTTGAGGAGCCTTGGTCCCTTCGCCCCTGCGGTTGTATAATGTCATAGAGACGAAAAGTTTCGCAGCAACTTGAATGTCTTTGGTATGTTGGGAGCAGTCCTCATCCCCGCGCGGGTCTCTGTAAACCTACCTAGCTGGACTTTACTCATTTGCTTGGTATAAACGTTGATAAATTTGGATATGATGATACCTGGGAGTCACCCTTAAGACATACCGGCTCGGTCTGAAATGCTCTTCGTCCCCTTGCATATTGAGCCTGTGCCGATAATGTAACATGTCATCAATAGATGCGTCGTGTTATTTCTAATGGCTTTGGTGCTTCTTGAAGAAATCGAATCACCGTTCTTTGTCTGTGTTTTGCCCCCCTACTTGCAACAGGTATCATTACAATGTAGCTGACTCACGGTTAACTCAACACGTTGAGAAAGGCAACGAAGATGGGCTGTACATAAGCAGTGTAGCGTCTTGTACAAATCTATGGGCTCTTATTATGGACGCTGGAACTGGTTTTACTGCTCAAGTTTATGAGCTTTCACATGTTTTCTTACACAAGGTTTGTGTTCCCTTTGTTTTGAGTCTATCTTCCCGCTAGAGTAGTCCGTTGTATGAGAGTAGAATACTCGTTTCTCAGAAAGTGTAGAGAAAATACTCCGTGTTTACTTGTTCGGCTATTCGTTTCCTACCCTTTTGCCTTCTCCGGAGAGTGGAACCCAAGGCAGAGTTGACTGCCTCTGTATATTGTTTGCATTTCACATGAGGGAGTGAGGGTTCCGACTGTTAACGTTTCCGTGCATTCACCCGTTCGTTGCATTGGATACATTATCGGCAAAAGACCGGACATTGGCATGATAATAGCGCAAGCAAACCTTACCTGTGTACTTGTTAGCTGCTCTGCTGGGTGTCAATCTCGCTGTCGCTGTTCTCTTCCACGTCTCCTCATTTTGTTACAGTTTTCATTTACAGTTTCCACCTATCTAAGGTGTCCACTAGGGAGCTGGTTATGGGTCGTTTGTATCATCGGAAGTTGCTGGGTTGTTTTCAACGAAAAATGTGAATGCGCAGGAATGGATTATGGAACAGTGGGAGAAGAATTATTACATCAGCGCTATTGCCGGTGCTAATAATGGAAGCTCTCTTGTTGTGATGTCGAAAGGTATGTCTAATTAAACAATTAGATAATATTTTCCTTCCAATTTCGATCTGAGAAGAATTTTTCGGATTACTTCCTTTGGGTTTCACTTGATCGTATTTATTCCTCATAAGATGCTTTGTGGACGTCTTTACGATTCGAAGAATTTTTCATTTCTGACAGTGAACTTGTATCTGGAATTCAGGAACATCATACACCCAACAATCGTATAAAGTCAGTGACTCCTTTCCTTTCAAATGGATCAACAAAAAATGGAGGGAGGGTTTTTATGTCACCTCAATGGCCACTGCAGGCAGCCGCTGGGGGGTTGTCATGTCACGCAACGCAGGTTTTACAGACCAGGTAAAGAATTGAGTTTAGTAGTTTTCATCGATGACGCATGATTCAGGATGAGGAGGGGTCTCATCGCGTTGTTCTGTTTGAGTACAGGTTGTTGAGCTGGATTTCCTCTACCCAAGTGAAGGTATTCATCGAAGGTGGGATAGTGGGTATCGTATTACTGCAACTGCAGCCACTTGGGATCAGGCCGCTTTTGTACTAAGTGTTCCAAGACGAAAACCAGTTGACGAAACTCAAGAGACCTTACGGACATCGGCTTTTCCTAGTTCACATGTTAAAGTACGTTATTCTTGATACCTCCAAACTACGTCGCACCGTTTAACTTTGCCTATGTTATTCATCTGTTCAGGGTTTTGATTTTCAACGTGTTTTCTGCGCAGGAGAAGTGGTCAAAGAATCTGTACATCGCAGCAGTAAGTTATGGACGCACAGTGTCATAGCATCTTATCAAAGCTGTGGTACAGCTCACCTACAGTGGCAGTTTGGCAGTCAATCGGTGGTGCTGATGAGGGAATTGGCCATGGACCTCTGCTGGACTCTAGAAGCGATCTGTTTACCTTTTTTACTCAGTTGTGCATAACACAGGTGTAGGACCGCATGCTGCACCTAGGCACTGCGAAGACTGAGAAATGCTGTGGGAAGGCTGCTACTGCAGCATGGTGAGGGTGCGCTTATATGGTTGATGTGGTGCTTCACATCACGAAGTTTCGATGAAATCAAGCAATACCTGGTCCTGCTCCTAATCCGTAGAAGTATTCGGAATGTGTATTAAGGGACAGGCCTTCCATTGCTTTGTTTCATCAAGAGGGAAAGGCCCGGAGATGTGAAGTAGTCTTGCTATCCAAATGTATCCCTTGACAAGTAGGTAAAATGATTCTCACTACTTGATGCCAACTTTAGATTCTCGATTATCTGGGAAGGTGGAATGTCTTGTTTGCTACTAATTCTAGCATGGGCATCCTTGGTGTACATTTGTAGCTGCATCTGCCAAGCTTTGTGAAGACCTGAGCGCAGAGTAGAAGGTCATGTTTCGCTCAATCCATCACCAGATACATCTGGTTGGTTGTGATTTAATCTGTAAGATATCAGTCACCAGAATCTTATTTTGCTTATAGTACTGAAGGGGTTTGTGTCTAAGCAGAGACCAAGGACATGTTGCGAGGGTAAAATTCAATGGCAGCGCAAACTCTTTTGCCCTGCCATTTGTGGTCTAACTTTGGACTAATCTTATTATTTCCTGCGATTCTGTGATTGAATGTTTCCAACTCTGAAATCAACGTCATGTACTATTCCAATGCTCTGGGATTCACGAAAAGCTGTTCTTTGTACAGTGAATAAAGTAGTCAATTGTTCTCCCTCGTAGTGAGTCACGGCATTCAGCTAAAGGACCGTGATCAGTTGTCGTTGACAGTTTGTCTTTGGATGAACTTTTTCTACGTGACGGTTTTTGCAGATTGCAATCCATTGGTGTCGATGTTAGGGCTATAAGAAATCATATCTTGCAGTTTATGATTGTAGAATTCTGATGCGACTTGCCTAGAGTTCCGACCTCTTTTACACTACCGAATCTATTACATTTAATTTACTGCGTTAGATGAAGGGCTGTTTATCATATATTAAGTGCCATCGTGGTTCGCCCAGAAATTGAGCTTTCAATTTCGTCACCAAACGTTTCTGTATCAATTCATTTAGTTTGAGGGGTACTCTCGGTTCACATGTTGAACCTCGTTCTGCGAGACGTGGCAAACACCAGTTACTCGAAAATTGTCTTGCTAGCCATCAATAAGTCGAATGGATCTCAGTTGTGAGTTTGTTATCATCTGGCTACGGACTGGAGGTAGAGTTGATCTTAGTAATTTCTTTTATAGTAAGAGTCAAGAAGCTGAAATTTGAGGTTGTAAAATTTATTTCGTCAACATAGCAGAGTATCTCCGAAAAGAGAAACTTCTCAGCGAGTACACATGTATATATCTGTTTCATATTCTGTACGTTTGTAAGTTTTATCTGTTAAAGTTCATGCGAACATATGTCAACGCAAGTCAATTTTAATTATGTGCTTCGCTCAACGGTTGAGAGTGCAAATAAATCATTGAGGTCACTTCACACTTTATAAAGTATACAGTAAGATTATTTTAATGGTCTTCACCACGTCGTATAATTGTTAGTCCTGTAGCGTTGTGAATTGCAAATGGCTGTTTAATAGGATTCCACGGTAGGCGAGGCACGTAGGCGGAAATGTTGAAATTTTTGCCACGACTAGTTTCACGCATGTGTCTCCGGTTTACATGTATTTACTTTGTACAGTTTTAATGTCATGTATGGATCAATGCTCTTGGAGGCTGGATTCTGCAGTTCAATGTCGCAGTCAGTCATGGCGTACATCATCTTTAGGGAGCAGTCACGTAGCGCTACGAACCGACAGTCTCTCCAAAACCACGCACAGCGGAATAGTTTACGGCAAGTACCTCTGGTGCTTTCTGTGATAGTCTCTTGTAAGATGATCCTTTTCTAAGGTTGTGATACGTCAGATTAATCTCAGGAAGTTTCCGAACGCACATCTTACTAAACTTCAATGAATCCGTTACGAGAATAGTTAGGGCGAAAAGTCTTTCACACCTGTTGCGGGTAAGCTTGGCCTTAACACGTGTCCCTGCTCCATATTCCTTAATTGTGTAGCAAGGCTATCCAAATGTAGCAAGGCTATCACTGCCACAAACTACGTCTTCCAGTAGAGATAGGTTTCTTCATCGTGAAATTCTCCCATTGCCTAAATCCTGCTTTGCTTACCATGGATATCATCTGCCTTACTGATATGGCGTGATCGTTACATTGGCAGTCCAATTACTTAATAACAAAAAGCAAATTTGGTATATACATTGTAGTCCATGATGCAATTGTAATAAAAAATAAACGGATGTGTAGGATGTAGTCCAGGATCCAATTGTAACAAAAAGCAAACAGAACGTAGGATCCGTTGCATCCGTTGTGAAATAATTGAGTACAATTGACATCTGTCACAAGTTTCTAAGAAGCCTATCACATCATTGTGTAAGTTATTCCAAACTAACTCTTCTTCAACTTCATAAAACTTACAAATATACAACTCTAGCCGTAAACTTAAATGACATTTCACCCATGAACTACTCCTTGATGTATTTTCCAAACTTCACACCTTTTTTCAACTATATTTTGGCTATGTTCTCGTTTTAAAAGTCATCGTCTAGCAACATGTACTTTAGGTACTTAGTAAATACAAGGCTATTGGAATATAGCCTCATCTCATATGATATCTTTCATCGTTAATGGAATAATCAACGATGAAAAAAAGAGATCCTCTTTTGTTTAGAAACAAGTTCAGGTAATGGTTGGAATTGGTTCCCGCTAATGTACCCGGATTGGAATTTCGCCGAAATCCTGAACTGTAGTCTCCATACATTTAACTAACTTTCATCCGGTTTTCTATGCAATATATTTCGCAATTGAGATGTTCTACGTTCGTCTACCTTGTACGTTAAATTGAACATGGTCCCAAGTAGTACTCGTGGTGCCACGTCAAGCAAGCACCGAAACTCAGTCTGAACATATAAGTGCTGGCTCTCCGTCCCACATGAATTTTTTTGGGAAAATCAGGATGCTCAGCCTTTCTGCAAGGTTTTCTTCAGTATATAGAAAACGATTCAATAAGTTTTTCATTTGATTTATTAATATTGTGCAAATTTCGAATTTTCTTCCCTTACTTCAGCCCGGGGCATGTTCAAGAGTATTGCGACAAGCATTACTCGCCGTGCCACGTCAAGGTACTGTTATCAAAAGGTATGAGGCTTCATTTCTGGAGCTTCTTTGCCAATTGTCTACCTTTTAGGGTTAGGGTTCCAACCTCGACGACCGGAACGAACCGGTTTTCCGATGTCCGAATTGTTCTCAGGGCTACTACGCGGTAGGAAGCCAAGCCAAGGAAGGAAAGGAAAGGGGAGGGCAGAGAAGAGGAGGGAAGGGGAGGGGAACGGAGTGTAGGGTTTAAGACTGTCAGCAGCAAATCAAACAGTTTGGCTCGAGCTTTGCCCGGCTCGTGTACTCGATTTGTCTGAGTATTTTCTCGATTTGAAGAGAGTGTCAAGATGGTGAAGAAGAGCAAGAGTAAGCGATCGCAAATCTTATCGGTTTTGGTCGTGGCTGTAGAGCTGAATTAATTTGCAAATGTAGGCGGATTTCGATCCAATGTGAGCTGATTCGGGAGGTTTTTGTGCGCAGAGAGTAAATCAAAGCGTACACCGTTGCGCAAGAAGTATAAGATTTTGAAGAAAGTCAAGGAACATCACAAGAAGAAAGCGAAGGAGGCCAAAAAGGCCGTAGGGTCTCGGAAGCAGAAAGTAGAGAAGGATCCAGGAATTCCCAATGCCTGGCCTTTCAGGGAGCAAGAACTTGCGGCCTTGGAGCAACGTCGCTCCAAAGCTTTGGATGAAGCGGAGAAGCGCAAGCAGGCGAAGAAAGAGCGGGTAATTTTCAGCAGTTCGTGACAGGGCTCTGTTTAGCACTTTCTCTGCCATCACTTGTCTCGAGTGTGTGTGTCTTTCTCACGATGGTAAGGATCATTGCAGGCTGCCAAGCGGAAATTGGGAATTCCTGATGACGAGATGGAAGATGCAGAGGACAATTTGACTAAGCTTACGGATGATGCCAATCAACGTAGTGCCGAATTTGAGCAGAAAAAACGAGCTAAAGTGGAGCAGACTGTGTCCGCCCCTGCAGGTATGTATTTCTGACCTGTAATAATTTTCAAACTGAAATTGTAATATTTTGTGTAGGTCATGCTTCTGGTCGTTCAAAGAACAGCTCAATGACTTCCAACCTGCAAAATGGCCGTATTCTTACAGTCATAGTAACAGTCATGAAACATAGTAGGGGCTTATCAAACTTAATGAGTACAAGAATTGCTGCGGTGAATGTCGGTTCATTTCGGTCCGGGTGACAGGGAAATGAAAGTTCTGGTGCAACCGTGGTGTGTCGTAGATACAATTTAGAAACATAACGTTTACGTGCGTACATTAATCAGATAAGAGATTGACCTTTGACTTATGTTTGACTTCCACCCATGAACTCGGTGGATCACTTGCTGTAATTATCCCTTACAAGCATCGAGAAAAAATATTTCTAGTTACAATCAACTCATGACAACCAACCAGTCATTCACAGCTAAGTTCTGGAAATGAACAGGCATCTTTGCCTGGTAGCCGAAAACGTATAATCAAATCGTCCATCAATTTACTATGACTGGTTTGTCTCGTCCGAAGATTCAAATGAAAGAACACTACCTCCTTCCTTGATGACATTTAGCTTCTTCATGAAGTGAGTCAGTTTCATCAAGAGTAAATCTTGAGCAGATACCAGCTAGTTATCTTCAGTATCAAAGGAACTACGTGCACTCTGACCTGTGGTGTGTAGTTGCTAGCTCCGAGGATCACACGCTACGAAACGGTCCTTAGATGCAAGTTAGTACTGTTCTGGAGACGAGGAAATGGGAACCTGTTGCAGTGATAAGTTATTGTGATGTGAATTGAGATAAGCTTGAAGGTTAATATTGTTATCGACATCCCCACTAGTGGAAATAAATGACTGTAGATGTGTACGCAACGTTTAAATCGAAAAGCGCATTTTGCTTATGTGGAGAGTTTATATTATGTACTGGGATATTTCTCTTTCCCGAAGAGGAGGACGGCAGATCACTTGTACAATTTACACCAAATTTGTTAATATGTAAACACCAGATACGTTTGATCCTTTTTCTTCCTCCTTGTAACCTGCTTCCAACTTGTGAACTACACAATCGGAAACGAGTCCGACTTCCCGTCTGAAACCTTTTGAGAGTAACAGCGCAAAAGGTCAGCGTTATGGTCGGGCAGGACATTCTGCTAAGTCCAAGTCTGTTCAGGGAGGCGGCACTCAAAATTCGAAGACTGCTATACGGACCAGTCGTAATCAGTCGTCTTTCGTGCATGGTCTAAAAGAAGGAATGTCACAATGGGACTGCATGGCTTTCTAGACCTGAATTTGTGACTCGAGTGTAGCTTACGAAGTGAAATGTCAAATGAACGGAGAGATAGATCTTTTTTACGGATCGAACGTCCATGACGCAAATTTTGATGTGTATTAGGTAGCAACCGAGAGAATTACTGATAGAGGTGAACGTGTTCTGGCCGTGTCGGATTTACCACTCTTTCGCTCTAGGTGTAAAGCTCATAAGTGTATTGGGTAGCAACCGAAAGAATGACTGATAGAGGTGAACGTGTTCTGGCCGTGTCGGATTTACCGCTCTTTCGCTCTAGGTGTAAAGCTCCTAAGGCAGTGCGCCACTCTCCTAGAGAATCAGGTTCAGAGTGTTCTATCTTTCCCTCGATACCTCATTGTCAAGTCTGATAATGAATCCCATCATTTAAATGTGCATAAACGTCCCTTTTCGGACATCGACATTATTTTTTTCATTGTTTCCTATTCTATAAGCTTCCTACACTGTCGGGACTGTAGGATGATGTCCAGATCCTTACGTATAGAGGTTTGTGGATTGGAGAGAGTACTGTCTTTGTCCTTCTGTCCAGATTATTTTGTTTTTCTTGACCTACTTGGAAAGAACATATGATGCCCACTACTTTCCTGGAACTCTGGACTTTTAATAAATAGTGTGTGAACCGACCTGTCTTCTGGTGAAAGTATGTTTTGAAATTAGCCAAACTTGCAAGCCAGGAGTTCAGTTGATATTGCTGTCCCTTTTTATCGAATTGCTCACGTATTCACTTGCGTTGTTCTTTGGTGTTCACAGAAAACTCTAGACGAGCTTTTTTCAAGGAATTCCAAAAGGTCGTTGAGGCTGCAGATGTAGTTATCCAAGTTTTAGATGCTCGCGATCCTCTGGGCAGTCGTTGCTTGGACGTGGAACGTTTGGTGCTAAAATCTGGAGCAACTAAGCGGATCATTCTGCTCTTGAACAAAATAGGTATTTTGCCCTATCCTGAAACCTCTTCATCTGACACCAAGCATTCAGCATTCTACGCATGTGTAGTCACATATTGTTCTTGCGACCGTGCTGACCCTCAAACAGTTTGGCTATACACATGTGACTGGAACTTACTTATAGTTGTAACCTTGCAGATTTGGTTCCCAAAGAGGTGGCCGAGAAATGGCTGAAATACCTAAGGGAAGAGCTCCCGACCGTAGCATTTAAATGTAGTACCCAGCAACAACGAACCAACTTGAGCCGCAAAGCTCCCAAACATTACAAGAAGAAGGGCGAGGTGCCTCAAACTGTGCAAGTTAGCGAGTGTCTTGGTGCCGAGAATTTGTTGCAGTTGCTGAAAAACTACTCTCGAAATCAAAAGGTTAGGTCATGAATAAATAGTGTTCTCTCTCAAGAAGGAGATTTTTTTTGCATTTGGCCGATGTTGTTTGTCAAAGTATGCATCTACAGGAGGAAATCAATCACGTGTATGTGGTCTACTTGTCTTCTTATCCTTAGTCTCAGTCAGAACCATGCTATGTTCTAGCTGTTAGTTTGTCGATTCTTCCTTCTGTGAAATTTGTTCCTAACATTGTTTCTCGACGTGTCACAGTTGAAGACAGCCATCACGGTCGGTGTGGTCGGTTTCCCTAACGTTGGGAAGAGTAGCTTGATTAACAGTTTGAAAAGAACTCGAGTTGCCACCGTAGGTGCTACACCTGGTGTGACAAAAGTAATGCAAGAGATACATTTGGATAAGAATGTGAAACTGCTCGATAGTCCGGGTATTGTGTTCGCGTCTTCTAAGGGTGATGAAGCTTCAGCCACTTTGCGAAACGTGATCAAAATCGAACAACTTTCAGATTCAACAGCTCCTGGTAAGTTTTCAAACTTGTCGAAGTCCCTCCCTCGGTTCATTTGATTGCAACTGTGTAGCTTCTTAAGACTTTGTTGCTGAGATGAATGCTCTTCCTATCCGCAGTCAAGGAGATCTTGAGGTTGTGCACCCCAGAGAAGTTAATGGGTATATACAAGATTCCTCAGTTTGAGGGCGTGGATGAGTTCCTTCAGCAAATTGCTGCAGTAACTGGGAAACTGAAGAGAGGAGGTGTTGCCAACACTCTAGCTGCCGCTCGAGTGGTACTGCATGACTGGAATAACGGTGAGTTGCTTAACTTTGTATGGTTGATTATGTCATTTTGTTAATTCATCACGTCATACAGTCTCAGTTCTACATTGCCGCTGAGGCTTTATGATAAGCGTGGTGTCAATTTTTCATGTGGAAACGGTTGACAGTGTTCTGAGGATAGTACCTGTGCGCATGCCAATAGTCGACAACGTTTAGCTTGACGTTAAGGAGTTAAAGAACAATGTGGGACGACGTGTTTTTGGATCGCTAATGAAGTATGGGGATAGTATTTGTCTTTATGCAATGGTGTCCTTCGCATGGAATGAGGGCAAACGCTTGTCTCTCCACATAGCTCCTCCGGACGTTGCCCTCTGTCTTAGATGGAAGTTGACAAATGGTCTTGGAAATCGCATGGAGGGTAGCCAGCAGAGGCCAACATTTTACTTCATATCTGTATCCAGACCAGACCATAACCATCAGCAGAGACCTATGCCCACCCATAGCAGTACCTGCGCCCACCCATGCTATTCAAATTACGCCAATTGTGTTGTGTGCATTACCCGGTTACACCAATTCTTGGTTGGATCTGACAAACAGTGCCCGTAGCATTACTTGTGCCCACCCATGGTAAAATATTGTCACCCAAAACCCACCCAAAACCCCATGGGCATGGGCACCCAATGTTGGGCTCTGGTAGCCAGTTTCTTTTTCTAGTTGTTGACAGAGCGTTTACAGATTATCCATATGCCGATTTATGTTTTTGGTTGGTTAGAGCAGCCTTAGCAGGTTTCTTCACATCTAATTATAATGTTGTTGATATTGTGCCCAGGGAAAATTCCTTACTACACGCTACCACCGGAACGACATGTCAACACCGAACATCTGGAATCAACCATTGTTAGTGGGTGGAGTAAGGAGTTCGATATCAATGCAGTGCTGGAGGATGAAGAGTCGAAGGTGATTGCTGGTCTCCCTGCACTTGCTTCCAGTCTCCATTCTTCTCAGTTGAAAATTAGCGCTCCACTGGCAATGGACGTCGATGACGGAACGATGGACGAAGATGATGAGGACGAGAGTGAAGAAGAAGAGGAGGACGAGGAAGACGACGACGACGACGACGATTCTGATTAAGAGATGTAGATATCGGGAAGCTAGGTGATTTTGGTCTTTAACATATTATGCATCATACGTCATTCTAATTCAAAAGTAAATTGTAATATAGCCTGTCTAGGATCTTCGAAATAGCACACATTTTGATGAGGTGGTCGTCCTTGCTGCGATCACGTGATCGAAGGGAGATAAAAGGGAGTAAAGAGTTGGGAAGTGACTTCTTTCATCACTGTGTCTTGTCTGTCTTTTTTGCTTTTCCAATGTATTGTCTCGACCATTATTTTCAGCTATGGGAGGATGCTACGGTCCTGGTGCGGAGCCCTGGAGATCCAACTTGTCCATAGACTGAGCTGGTGAATATATAGCTCAGACCAGACCAATAGGCACACCATATCAATGGTTTCAGTGTGCCATATGATTGCGAAAGCTTTTCCTTGATCACGCCAAGGCGTCTCGTGTGCAATGGCATCCCCAGGTTAGATCGTTCCTGAAAATTGCCCATGGCCGACCTATTGATTGGTCGCTCTCAGTGATCCGAGCCTTCGGGGATCCGTCTTCGCTATCCCCAACACACCCATACCTCCCCTCCTCTCAGGTGCTTCGGAGCCTTGGATCGCCCTCACTGTGAAGCTCGACCGACGGCCACAGGGGATCTGCTTTTCGGACAACACGGTTTCGCTTTATGAGCTGAAAAGCAGAATGAGGTGAGTCCAGAAACATCATAAGCACTTTGTGGCGATGGGGACACACTCCAGAACAGTCTACAGGATTCAAATTCTTGTGCCTTGACTAGCCCCGGTCTTTTGGCAATCGTCAGAAGTGACCGTGAGGTGTGCTTCCACAGCACGAACGACGTTCAAACCCCACCAAAGCACATCACAGGCAGGCGGGTGGAATTCCCATGTGTCTGCATGGCACTTACGGCCTCCGTGGTGCGAGCCTCCAGAAAGGGGCCGAAATGGCCACCCTTGACAGTCTGGAGCACACAAGGTCCTCGTTTATTATTATTCACGAGGGAGTAGAGAGTCGGAAAGGCAATTCTATGTTAGTCAATTGACCTTGCCTCGTACCGTCCTCGGCTAGAGCCAGGTTTCCCAAATTGCCCATGGCGACCGAAAGGTAGCACAGCCCAGCCGGCTGTACTCGCTTCGCAGCGATGGGGTTGCATCCACACGCGTCTGTGGCACATGGAATTCGCTCTGAGCTTGAATGTGAGTGAGCTCACAGTCTCCAGTCTACTACAGTCCCCAGTCGTACACGCGAGGGAGCCTCTGACAGGCCCAAGAACACTCGCTCAAAGCGGACCAGACACACATCGAACTACCGGAAAAGCACTTACTAGCTCGCTCACTCGAGCTCGATGATGGCGGTGGTACGTAGACCCCAATCCATATCACCGCGGCTTGGCTCTGAGCTTCAATGCCGCAGCTGAAGAGTCCTAGCTAGGACCATGACCGAAAGGAAAAGTCTTGATGCACTCCGGAGCGGTGGGGATTGGATCGGGGCTGTGATGGTGATGGTGCTGCTGATGCAGGGGGTGGTGAAGCCCTTGCAGAAGAGCAAGATGGCTCTCATGAGTGTGATGTTTGCATGCAGCAGCAGCAGCTGGAGGAGTAGTAGTCGTAGTAGCAGCTGTAGATCCCGCCCCTACTCCAGACTCTGTGGCAGCAGCTTACTGCCGACTGGTCTGGAAGGCCCTCTACCCCCCTCCCTTGCTGCTGCTGCTGCTGCTGCTGGGGGATGCTCAGCAGCACCTACAGCTTTGCTCGCACATCTTCCTCGTCGTTATGAACGAAATAATTCCAAATGAGCCAGAACCCAATCTGCATGCGCCACAACCTCTTCTCCTGCTCCTACCTCAAGCTAGTTCCACGGTCTAGTGAGAAGCCTTTCTGCCGCTGCGTCTGGTTTTTGGAATATCTACGAGGAGTCGCAAGCACGACTCTTCTGGATGTTTCCTTCATTCTTTCCTTGCTTGCATCTGCCTCTGCGGTGATGGTTTGATTGATATTTTCGATTCTTGTGGGAAGCAGCAGCAGACGCAGATGCAGCTGCTGCAATTGGTTCATGTAGGCCAACATCATTCCGTGCACTTTTTCGAGGCTAGAAGAACAGCGGCAAGGCTGAGCCTGAGCCTGAGCCTCGTCCTCTCCAGATCTCGTCGAGGATCGTGATGGTAGGCAAGCGACCAGAAGCTTTAGGCCACTTATAGCCCCTCGTCCGGCTGGAGAAAACGGGCCCTCTGTTGGCGAGGAGCTTCAGAAATATCGTATATTGATGGGTTCTTAAACAATGGCGTTGGTCTCTTTTCTTGCCATCCCTTGCCATCAATCAATGAATCATCCATTCAATTTCCTAGGCCTCTTCATGAGCTTGTGCTTTCTTCATACAACCAACATTCACTCCCTTCAATTCGTTTCTCCTCTCATTAAACCTCCGCCTTACCACTCACCTTCGGAGTTCACTTGCTCTCTTGTATATACAAACATACATGTGCGTTTGCCCGTCAACCGATCGATCAATCAATCACTCACTCACGCAAAACAATCAATCTCTCGTCACATTATGACTGTGGGCTCATTCAGGTTTATCCGTGCCTTGATGAACGTCATGTGGAACCAACAGGAGGATCCTTGTTTGTTTCTCCGAGGGCCAATCCGAGCACCATCTGAAAGGGGAGAAAGGGTGGGAGGCTTGAAATGATACCAATCACCATCAACAACAACAACGGCAGAATCAATAGACAACCGAGAAAGAGAGGCTATAAAAATAAAGCATTGAATAAAGCGAAGAATCTACGCGAGGTCAGCATAACTGTACTTGATCTCGCTCACTCACACACTCACTAGCTGCTGCTGCGGCCGGTGCTACTACTACTGCTGGTGGTGGTGGCTGCTGGCAACCACAACAAACAACAGAGTGAATCAACCACAACAACGACAACAACTAACAACACCCAACAACAACATCAGCAACATAAAACACCACAACACCAATGGCACTTTTATGGGGCAAAAGCAGCGACACGGTTTGGCCCTTTTTCTCAAAAGAAACGTGATGGTCGAAATACTCGGAGTCTTGAAGGCCAACAATCAATGAACGTAGTAGTAGATTTTATAGCAGCCCCCATGTCGTAGATTAGATAGATAGATGGCCGGGCCCCCAATTGCATCATCCTCACCCACAACACTACGATCTCTACTTCTCTCTACTACTCGCCCAGCCCTCCCCTCCCTGAACTCCTCCTCCTACTCGCTGGGATTTCGAGATCTGGAAGCTCGAAGGTCGGTAGCTCGATTTGGCCCCCGAGTGACAGGATATGAAAGTTCTGGTCGAGAGCAGGCGACACGACAACATAGATCAATGATCCGATAAGGTTTGGTTCATGTTGCCATGGGCACTACTACCCTCCCTCCTAGTCCCACCTCGGGGTCAAAGGATATCATTCTTTATTTGCAGGCGATGGTTCTCTCGCCAATTCAATCAATCGAGGCATGGAAAAGCCGAGCGGTTGGAATGGATGAAGGAAGGGAGGGAGGGAGGAAGGAAGGAAGGAAGGAAGGAAGGAAAGAAAGAAAGAAAGAAAAGAAAGAAGAAAAGAAGGAGGACGAGGACGATGCATCGTTGTACCGTAATCATTGTCCCAAATGCTTTAGCCTGTTGCTGCATGGGGCTGCTGCTGGCGAGGGCGAGGGGGGCCTCGAATCTGGGATTCTGGGGGCTGCTGGTTCGAACTCGCACAATGGTGGGAAAGGGAAAAGCTCGGAGCTGGAACTGGGGGCTGGAGCTGGAGGATTGATTTTATGTGGACGGTCAACCGAGAGGGAGGGAGGGAGGGAGGGAGAGATAGGCATGCAAATGAGTCCATGAGCTCAGGAGGAGGAGGAGGAGGAGGGCGATGATGGTGATGATGAGGTCTCATCAGTCGCAGCAGAGCGGCTGCAACAGGAGCTCCAAATGGGGCGGCTGAGGAATTTATTTCACAGGTCAATGGAAAGTATAGTAAATGGGATTTCGGTCCTCCTCGTCCCTTCGGCTGACGATCGAAGAACGATGCCCTCCGGCCTGCCTGCCTGCATGACTGAATGAGCTGAAGGATCGACTCGAGGGCCAGACCCATCGCCAAACTACGTTTCCCCAAGCGCATGATGATGGTACGAGTACGAGGAGAACAATCACAGTGGATTTGGATTTTGTCGTCCATGGGGATGGAGGGAGGGGCTCGGAGCTAAGAGATGGAGGAGATTTAGGGGCGTAGGCTTGGAGTGTGGCGAGGCGAGTGAGTGAGTGAGTGAGGGAGTGAGTGAGTCCAGTCTGGATGGTATAAATGGATGATAAGGTTTGTTGGAATAAAATTTTATTTATTTCGAGGCTCAGGAGGATTGCACCAGAAACATCGAGAGACTTATAACCAAACCAACCGAGCGAGCGAACATTACCGAACACTCTCGTCCATCTCTCTCTTATTCCTTCACGCGTCTTTCTTTCAGGATAACATTATTTCTCCTCCTGCTGGGCACTTCTGGGACGAGGACAATTGCCCCTCGAAATGTTTTCATCCGTGACCAAGAGGGGAAAAAAAAGAAGAACAAAAAAGGCAAATGAAATTCACCATCCAGATCCATGATGAGGCACTGGAAGGGTAAAACAACTCGATGCACCGGATGAATTCCCCCGGATGAATTTTCAGCATGGCTAGCTCGCTCCTTAGATCAACGAGATGTGTCAAAGAAGGGCCAAGAGGAAAACCAAAACAACTGAGCATGATTGATTCTTTGTCTTATTATTAATCCATATATCAGGCAAAAGACATGCACCTTGACTTTTTGCTGCATTTGGAGCATGATGTGCAAAGTCAGGAATGTAACGACGACGACCAGCAGCAGCAGCAGCAGCAGGATGAAGAAAGTAAGAGGAGAGCTGGAAGGGCTGGATCTGGTGGTGCCGAATGGTGCCTGAATTTCGACTCCAAAGATCTGAGGCCAGCTGATTATCACCAAATCAGATGCAAGCGAGTTTCATGTCAAGAGATGAAATGAGGATCATGTGAGCTCGAACTAATCTCAGGCTGAGGGATCTGGTCAGTCATGCTTAGCCCAGGGCCAGGGTGCGGCTATGCTAGGTGAGCAAACCTACAAGTCTCTCACTCGCTCGCTCACTCGCCCGCCCTGTCTGTCTCTCGGGCATCTCACATGTTCCTTTCCTCACTCATCGT